GGGTGTGGTGGTGGTGGTGGTGAGAGCAATGATGGTGTGAAGGTGTTGAAGCAAATGATAGTGTTGGTGTTGGTGTTTTGGGGGTGGTGGTGGTGTGGTGAGAACAATGATGGTGGTGAAGGTGTTGAGCAGTGACGTGTTGGTGGTGGGTGAGAGCAATGATGGTGGTGAAGGTGTTGAGAGCAGTGATCGTGTTGGTGATGGTGGTGGTGGTGGTGGGGGTGGTGGTGGTGGGAGAACAATGATGGGGTGAAGGTGTTGAGAGCAGGATCGTGTTGGTGATGGTGTTGGGGGTGGGGTGGTGGTGGTGGTGGTGGTGTGGTGGTGGCGATGAGAGCAATGATGGTGGTGGTGGTGAGAACAAAGAAAGGTGGTGAAGGTGTTGAGAGCAGTGATCGTGTTTTGGGGATGGTGGTGATGGTGGTGGTGGTGGTGGGAGAACAATGATGGTGGTGAAGGTGTTGAGAGCAGTGATAGCGTTGGTGATGGTGTTGGTGGTGAGAGCAAAAGATGGTGGTGAAGGTGTTCAGAGCAGTGACAGTGTTGGTGTTGGTGATGGTGGTGAGAACAATGATGGTGGTGAAGGTGTTGAGAGCAGTGATGGTGTTGGTGCTGGTGATGGTGTTGAGAGCAATGATGGTGGTGAAGGTGTTGAGAGCAGTGATAGTGTTGGTGCTGGTGATGGTGGTGAGAGCAATGATGGTGGTGAAGGGGTTAAGAGCAGTGATAGTGTTGGTGCTAGTGATGGTGGTGAGAGCAATGATGGTGGTGAAGGGGTTGAGACAGTGATAGTTTGGGGCTAGTGATGGTGTGAAGGTGTTGAGAGCAGTGATTGTTGGTGATGGTGGTGGTGGGGGTGGGGAGCAACGATGGTGTAAGGTGTTGAGACAGTGACAGTGTTGGTGTTGGTGAGGTGGTGAGGCAATGATGGTGGTGAAGGTGTTGAGAGCAGTGATGGTTGGTGCTGGTGATGTGGGTGAGAGCAATGATGGTGGTGAAGTGTTGAGCGCAGTGATAGTGTTGGTGCTGGTGATGGTGGTGAGAGCAATGAGGTGGTGAAGGTGTTGAGCGCAGTGATAGGTTGGTGCTGGTGATGGTGTGAGAGCAATGATGGTGGTGAAGGGGTTGAGAGCAGTGATAGTGTTGGTGATGGGGGTGGGTGAAGCAATGATGGGTGGTGAAGGGGGTTTAGAGCAGTGATAGTGTTGGTGATGGTGGTGGTGAGAGCAATGATGGTGGTGAAGGGGGTTTAGAGCAGTGATAGTGTTGGTGGTGGTGTTGGTGGTGGTGGTGGTGAGAGCAATGATGGTGGTGAAGGTGTTGAGAGCAGTGATAGTGTTGGTGGTGGTGGTGGTGGGGGTGAGAGCAATGATGGTGGTGAAGGGGTGAGAGCAGTGATAGTGTTGGGGGTGGTGGTGGTGGTGGGTGAGAGCAATGATAGTGGTTTAAGGTGTTGAGAGCAGTGATAGTGTTGGTGGTGGTGTTGGTGGTGGTTGTGGGGGTGAGAGCACTGATTGGAGGTGAAGGTGTTGAAGCAGTGATAGTGTTGGTGGTGGTGGTGAGAGCAATGATGGTGGTGAAGGGTTGAAGCAGTGAAAAGTGTTGGTGGTGGTGGTGGTGGTGGTGAGAGCAATGATGGTGGTGAAGGTGTTGAGAGCAGTGATAATGGTGATAGTGATGGTGGTGATGGCAGTGGTGGTGTTGGTGGTAGTGGTGGTGGTGATAGCGGTGGTGGTCATGGTGATGACGGTAGTGGTTTTGCCTAGATTTTACCTGGAGGGGGTTTCGGGGGTGAACGCCCCCCGATGCTCAGTCTGAGACCGGGCCTCATGGTAGTGTGGGTCTGATCAGCCAGGCTGTTACTGCTGACCGCACGCAAACTGACGTACGAACCACAGCCCGGTTGGTGCCTGTCCAGTGCCTTCTTGAAGACAGCCACAGGTCTATTGGTAATCCCCCTATGTATGCTGGGAGGCAGTTGAACAGTCTTGGGACCCTGACACTTATTGTGTTGTCTCTCAATGGGGTGGTGGTGGTGATGATAGCGGTGGCGGTAATTTTGGTGGTGGTGGTGATGATGATAGTGGGGTGGTGGTGATGAGAGTGGTGATTGTGGTGGTGGAGACGATGGTGGTGATGGTGCTGGTAATATTTGTGTTTTGGGGGTGGTGGTGTTGATGGCGGTGTTGGTGGTTGTGTTGGTGGTAGTAGTGGTGGTGGCGGTGGTGGTGACGGTGATGGTGGTGATGATGGCAATGGTTTTGGTGGTGGTAGTGGTGGTGGTGACGGTGATGGTCGTGATGGTGGGGGTGAGCAATTGTGATGATGGTGGTAGTGAGAGTAGTGATGGTAGTAGTGAGAGTAGTGATGGTGGGGTAGTGATAGTGATTGTGGTAAATGATAGTGATGGTGGTAATGAGAGTAGTAATGGGGGTAGTGAGAGTAGTGATGGTGTAGTGATAGTGATGGTGGTAGTGACAGTGATGGTGGTAGTGAGAGTAGTAAAAGGTTGTAGTGAGAGCAGTGATGGTGGTAGTGGTATGATGGTGTTAGTGATAGTGATGGCGGTAGTGAGAGTAGTTGATGGTGGTAGTGAGAGCAGTGATGGTGGTAGTGAGAGTAGTGATTGTAGAGTGAGAGTAGTGACGGTGGTAGTGATAGTGATGGTGGTAGTGATAGTGATGGTGGTAGTGATAGTGATGGTGGTAGTGAGAGTAGTAATGGTGGTAGTGAGAGCAGTGATGGTGGTAGTGATAGTGAAGGTGGTAGTGAGAGTAGTGATGGTGGTAGTGAGAGCAGTGATGGTGATAGTGATAGTGATGGTAGTAGTGAAGTAGTAATGGTTGGTTAGTGAGATTAGTGATGGGGGTATGATAGTGATGGTGGGGAGTGATAGTGATGGTGGTAGTGAGAGTAGTAATGGTGGGAGTGAGGGGCAGTGATGGTGGTAGTGATAGTGATGGGGGTAGTGATAGTGATGGTTGTAGTGAGAGTAGTGACGGTAGTAGTGATAGTGATGGTGGTAGTGAGAGTAGTGACGGTAGTAGTGATAGTGATGGTGGTAGTGATAGTGATGGTGGTAGTGAGAGTAGTGACGGTAGTAGTGATAGTGATGGTGGTAGTGAGAGTAGTGACTGTGGTAGTGATAGTGATGGTGGTAGTGAGAGTAGTGATGGTGGTAGTGATAGTGATGGTGGTAGTGAGAGTAGTGACGGTAGTAGTGATAGTGATGGTGGTAGTGAGAGTAGTGACGGTGGTAGTGGTAGTGATGGTGGTAGTGAGAGTAGTGACGGTGGTAGTGAGAGTAGTGATAGTGGTAGTGATAGTAATGATGGTAGTGAGAGTAGTGACGGTGGTAGTGATAGTGATGGTGGTAGTGAGAGCAGTGATGGTGATAGTGATGGTGGGAGTGATAGTGATGGTGGTAGTGAGAGTAGTGACTGTGGTAGTGATAGTGATGGTGGTAGCGAGAGTAGTGATGGTGGTAGTGAGAGTAGTGACGGTGGTAGGGAGAGTAGTGATGGTGGTAGTGATAGTGATGATGGTAGTGAGAGTAGTGATGGTGGTAGTGAGAGTAGTAATGGTGGAAGTGATAGTAATGGTGGTAGTGAGAGTAGTGACGGTGGTAGTGATAGTGATGGTGGTAGAGAGAGTAGTGACGGTGGTAGTGAGAGCAGTAATGGTGGTAGTGATAGTAATGGTGGTAGTGAGAGTAGTGACGGTGGTAGCGAGAGTAGTGATGGTGGTAGTGAGAGTAATGATGGTGGTAGTTAGAGCAGTGATGGAGGTAGTGAGAGTAGTGACGGTGGTAGTGATCGTGATGGTGGTAGTGACAGTGATGGCGGTAGTGAGAGTAATGATGGTGGTAGTTAGAGGAGTGATGGTGGTAGTGAGAGTAGTGATGGTGGTAGTGATAGTGATGGTGGTAGTGACAGTGATGGTGGTAGTGAGAGTAGTGATGGTAGTATTGATAGTAGTGATGGTGGAAGTGATAGTGATGGTGGAAGTGATAGTGATGGTGTTAGTGATAGTGATGGTGGAAGTGATATTGATGGTGGTAGTGCTAGTGATGGTGGTAGTGTGGAGTATCAGCTGGTAGCTACAGTGTGGGATCATCAACTGGTACACAGGCAAGTACATGTGTTTCTTCATCAACAGGTATCCACAGGTGTATTATTGGAGATTGAGACACTTATGCTACGTATGGGAATCTTTATTAAGGAAACGTTTCACCACACAGTGGCTTCATCAGTCCGATAAGAAGCAGAAAGGTGTAAGGAGAGGAGGAGTTTGAGGTAATCAGTCCCTCAGCCTGGAATCGGTGTGTTCAATCCATCACTCTTGTAGAAAGTAGAGCATAGGCCCGGGGAAGTGGCTAATATACTGTAGTCAGGTGAGTGGAGGCAGGAGGAGGCGGGGTCACAGCGGTACCATCCACTGGTGTAAGTAGGTCTTCGTCCAAACGTTGGGCAAGTATTGAAGAATTCCTTGTATCAAGATCCCATGATGTTGCAGTGTCTGACACATGTGATAAATGGTTTTGAGAACCTTCAAGTTTGAGACTGAGATAATTTTGCAACATTCAACTTGTCAGTTTTTAAAACCTTTTATCACAGGTGTGTTATTATCAACAGACACACAAGTAATTACAAATGTATCAACAGATACACAGGTAGCTACAAATGTATCATCATCAAGAGCTACATATATGTCATTATCAAAAGGTACGCAGGTGCCTGCAGATGTGTCATTATCAACAGGTTCACTGGTAACTACAGGTGTGTCATCATTAACAGGTAACTGCAGGTGTGACATCAACATGTACACAGGATACTTCAGGTGTGCCATAATAAGAAAAGAACACGGACAACTAAAATTTTGTTACCATCAACAGGTACATAGTTAACTACAGATATGTATTTAATAATAAGCACACAGGTAACTTCAGGAGTCACCAATAACACGTACACAGGTAACTATAGGTGTTTCATCATTAATAGGTACTGGGTGATCTGGTGCTACCCCAGCGCAGTAACAGTGGTGGGCATCCAAGACATGATCTACGGCCTGCATCACCACAGTGTTATGGTGAAGGACAGGTTAATAGTATACACCAGCGTCACCATAACACAACCCCAGCGTCACCAGCTGATCACTTTGACTAAGACAACCCTCAACTGTGACTTTACCATGTGAGTGTCTGTTACTTGTGTCATCCTCCTTTCATGGTAGCTTCTGTTGTCTTCATGGTAGTTGTTACTGTTGCTTCCATGGCAAATGCCGCAGCTGCCTTAACAGGGGTAATTTCTCCCTTAATGTTTGTTGCTACTGCTGTCTTCATGGTAGTTGTTGCTGCTGCCTGCTACTGCTGTCTTCATGGTAGTTGTTGCTGCTGCCTGCTACAGCTGCTTTCAAAGTATGCTGCTGCTGCTTTCGTGATAGCTGCTGCTGCCTTCATGCTACCTGCTGTTGCTGCCTTCAATGTAGCTGCTGCTGCTGCCTTTATGGTAGGAGCTGCTGCTGCCTTCACAAAAGCTAGTGCTGCTGCCATCATTGAAGTTGCTTCTGCTTCCTTCAAGGTACACGCTGCTGCTGCTGCTACTGCTTGAATGGTAACTGCTGTTGCTGCCTTCTTGGTAGTTGCTACTGTTACTTTCATGGTGACTGCTGCTTCTGCTTCCTTCAAGGTAATTTCTGTTACTGTCCTTATGGTAGCTTCTACAATTTTCACGGTAGCTGCTCCTTTCTTCAGGGTGCTTCCACTGCTGCTTCTCTCATATTAGCGGTGGCTGCTACTGCCTTTACAGTAGCTTCTGCTGCTACTTCTGTCTTCAGAGAGCTGCTCCTGATAGCTGCTGCTGCCTTCGATACAGCTGCTACTGAGTTCGTGATAGTGGCTGCTGCATACTTGGTAGCTGCTGTTGTCATTATTGCCACTGCTGCTGCCTTCATTTTAGCTGCTTTTACTTTAATGGCAGTTGCTGCTGCTGCCTTCATGGGTAAGAGGAGTTGGTAATAAATGGATGTCGAGGGAAATCAGTGTGCCTGGCTAGACGGGAACTGCAAAGAATTTGCAATCCCTTTCATTGTCTACCGGGACAATTTCTATGGCAAACATGATATGTATGCAAAGTGCAACTCTCTGCGGCAAGAGTGGTAGTGTTAGCCAATTGTCTTGACAGAGCCGTTGCTGAGTTGTCTAAGATTTTAAACTGACAGAAGATAAAGGTATGAGTGCGTGTGGGAAACAAATAGGTTAAAGTACGATGGATGAAAACAGCAAAATTTGCAGGATACCTCAAGGATATGTTCAACAGACATTATTCATCATAAAGTTACTAATAAATTCAGTGGAAGTGATTAACAAACAAAGAGGGACAGCAAAGGGCAGTGAGTAACCAGCTCCCTTAACAGTGTAAGAAACAAGATAATGAGCTAAGATTAGTTTGATGTACAGAAAACATAGATGTTACGCTACAACAGAGACCTGGTTGAACATGAGAGAAATACCTCCTGAATGCCACCTACAAGCTTATGAATTATTCAACACCGACAGGGTCAATAAAAATGGTGGTGGAGTGGCGATATAAGTCAGAGATAATTTAAACTGTTGTATTAGACAAAATATAAAAGCAGAAGCGACGGACACTGAATCTGCTTAACTACACTTTCTAGAGGGACGTGAAAAACTGATCTTGGGGTTGATTTACAGGCTTCTAAACCTTGATAGGGAAAGCGATAAACTACTATGGGTCGAAATTCATGAGACTTTTAAATATGAAAATCTTGTGTTAATGGGAGATTTTTAACTTTAGACAACTTGATTGTAATAATTTAACAGAAAATCTTGAGTCTACCGACTTTCTTGATAGCATCTATGATTACTTTTTAAAGCAGCTGTTTTTAGAGAATCAACTTGAGGAAACAACTTTATTGACTTGGTTCTTACCAATAAGGAATCATAATGAACTTGGAGAAAGCGATCACAAATCAGTTTCAATATTTCGTGGAATTACCTTAATAAAAACACCTAAGCCAATGTCCACGACTTCCGCTTGACCGCTTTCATAGGACTGAGAAATAACCTGTTAGATGAACTGTTGTGATCTGACTGGTCATTATCCTATAAGTCAGGTAGGCGGTGACTGTTGCCAGTGTGACATTTTCCAATCATTCTTCAAGCTGCCCAGACTTCTTATGTTTCAAATAAGGAAATATATCATATAAAAATGACCCCAAATGAATAAACAATAGATTAAAGCATCTCATAGGTCAAAGAGAAGCATTTACAGGCGAATCAGAAAGTGAGATACCTACTTAAGAAATCAATATATTCAGTTGAAAAGAGAAATAAAAACAAGAATAAGAAAAGCGAAAAGAGAATATGAAGTTAAAGTTACAAAGGGATTCGAAAATTAACCCAAAAGTTTTCTTTCAGGTATATAGAAGTAAGATTAAGGACAAGATTCTTTCTTTCAACAAACAAACCGGCCGTATCCCACCGAGGCAGAGTGGCCCAAAAAGAAAAACGAAAGTTTCCCTTTTTAAATTTAGTAATTTATACAGGAGAAGGGGTTACTAGCCCCTTGCTCCCGGCATTTTAGTCGCCTCTTACAACACGCATGGCTTACGGAGGAAGAATTCTGTTCCACTTCCCCATGGAAATAACAGGAAATAAACAAAAACAAGAACTATTAAGAAAACCCAGAGGGGTGTGTATATATATGCTTGTACATGTATGTGTAGTGTGACCTAAGTGTAAGTAGAAGTAGCAAGACGTACCTGAAATCTTGCATGTTTATAAGACAGAAAAAAGACACCAGCAATCCTACCATCATGTAAAACAAATACAGGTTTCCGTTTTATACTCACTTGGCAGGACGGTAGTACCTCCCTGGTCAGTTCACTAAGGTCCTTCACAGATCCAACCAGCTAACAAAATATTTGCCCAACCCACTTTAGTTCTTCCCTAACAATATGTTCTGATAAATCCACTGACTCATGTGCAAGTCCCACTCAAATCCAACCCCTCTCGCTCATGTATTTATCCAACCTAAATTTGAAACTACCCAAGGTTTTAGCTTCAATAACCCTACTAGACAGACTGTTCCACTCATCAACTACCATATTTCCAAACCAATACTTTCCTATATCCTTTCTAAATCTAAACTTATCTAATTTGAATCCATTATTGTGGGTTCTGTCTTGGAGAGATATCCTCAAGACCTTATTGATATCCCCTTTGTTAATACCCATCTTCCACTTATACGCTTCGATCATGTCTCCCCTCATTCTTCGTCTAACAAGTGAATGTAATTCAAGGGTCTTCAATCTTTCTTCATACGGAGGATTTCTAATGCTATGAACTAATTAAGTCATTCTACGCTGAATGTTTTCTAACGCGTTTATATCCATTCTGTACCTGATCAACCGGGCTGTGGTTTGTACGTCAGCTTGCGTGCGGCCAGCAGTGACAGCCTGGTTGATCAGATACTGATCCACCATCAGGCCTGGTCTCAGACCGAGCCACGGGAGCGTTGATTCCCGAAACCCTCTCCAGGTAAACTCCAGGTATATGTTTCAGACTTTATACTCTTATGCATCAATTTAAACGATCTCGGACATAGAGTGCCACCCCACCCCACCCCCCTCCCCGATACTTCTATCTACTTGAAACAATTTAAAACCCTGAATGTGACATTCAGCAGGCATGTCCCTATTTTTCATATTAAACCACGTCTCAGTTATAGCAAAAACATCAATGTTACCCGCACTTGCAACTAATCTTAATTCGTCCATCTTATTTCTCGCACTACGACTATTAGTAAATATGTTTAGAAAACCTCCCTTCAACACGTATTTCCTCTCAATTTTTACGATCTACAAATTATGTAGATCAGGACGATCGTAGACACTAGTAACAAGGTTCTCAGACAAATAGATAAATTAAAATCTAACACATCTTTGAGCCCAGATGAAGTGTTCTCAAGGGTTATAAAGGCATATAAGAAGGAACTTAGCAAACCATTAGCAAACCTTTTCAACATATCACTACAAACAGGCATTATGCCAGATAATTGGAAAATGGCAAATTATAGACCAGTTACCCTAACCTACATTGTAGAAAAACTGAGGGAATCAATAATTGCCAGGTTATTCGAAGTTACCTTGAAAGACATAAATTGATCAATGAATCTCAGTACAGTTTTACAAAGGGGCGTTTCTGCCTTACGAATTTACTATTTTTTTTTTCTAAAAGATATAAGAGGTTAGATCACAGTAATGAATTTGACATTGTGTATTGAACTTCAGTAAGGGTTTTGATAGAGTTACACATACATCAGAGAGTGTGGAGGAAAGTAGACACACGGAATAAGAGTAGATTTTTTTTCTGGATAGAAGCGTAGTTGACAGATAAGCAACAGAGAGTATGCATAAATGGGGAGAAATCAGAGTGTGGAAGAGTCACAAGCGTTGTTCCACAGGCGTAAGTGCTGGGCTCCTTGTTGTTCACAACATTATGACAAAGATGGGAATAAACAGCGGCATAAACAAGTTTGCCGATGATTCTACAATAGCTGTCGGATTAATTCTGAAATGATCAAAGAAGTGGCAAATATAGTTCGGTATAGACAAATGCAAAGTTATAAGCTTTGTAGAGTAAATAACAATGATGTTTGTAAAGTACATAATGTAGGTCTTATGCAATTTGAATACGAAAAGATTTAGGAGTCTTGTTAGAAGTAATCTAATATTAAAACAATAGTCAACAAGTGTTTGCAATAAAGCGAGTAAAATTCTTGGTTTTATATCAAGAAGTCTAAATTACAGGAGTCCTTAGGTCATTCTTCTATAAATCGTAGGTTAGGCTTCACTTAGATCATGCTGCACAGTGCTGGTCACCATATTACAGAATGGACAGAAATACGATGGAAACCGCACAGAGAAAGAAGATAAAGTTATTCCCATGTATTAGAAATATTTCTTACAAGAACAGACTGAGGACCCTGAATCTGCACAGATAGGCGTAGAATTAGAGGGAATATGATGTTATTTTATTAACACATCGGCCGATACTCACCAAGGCAGGCGACCCGAGAAAAGAAGAAACACTTTTATTGTCATTATTCACTCCATCACTGTCTTGCCAGAGGCGTTCCTCCACTACAGTTATAAAATTGCAGTATTTCAACACCCCTCCTTCAGAGTGCAGGCTCTGTACTTCCCATCTCCAGGACTCAAATCCGGCCTGCCATTTTCCCTAAATCCCTTCATAAATGTTACTCTGCTCACATTCCAACAGCACATCAAGTCATGAAAACCACTTGTTTCAACTCGAACCTGTCTAACACGCTCACGCACGCTCGCTGGAATCGTGACTCACGAAATCGCAATAACATGATTGCAACGCGTAAACCCAGCGCTTACGCGCTGGCCTGGGTTTTTATGACTCACTTGCCGCGAGTTCAATCCCCACCCGTATCATGGTTTGCTTTCTGGAAGTGCGAGGGGCTTGCACTTCTAGCAAGTGTGCATGAGCGTATTAAATAGGGACGAGTGGAGACGAATGGTTTTTATGACTTGACGTGCTGCTGGAGTGTGAGCAAAGTAACATTTATGAAGGGATTCAGGGAAACTGGTTAGCCAGACTTGAGTCCTGGAGGCGGCAAGTACAGTGCCTGCGCTCTGAAGGAGTGTAGTGTAGGCACGCCTCTGGCAAGTCAGTGATGGAGTAAATGATGTCGAAAGTGTTTCTTCTTTTTCGGGTCACCCTGCCTTGGTGGGAAGCGGCCAATGTGTTACTAATAATAAAAAGATAATGATTGAGGTGCATAAATGGAAAACAGGAATAAACAAAAGGGACATAAATAACGTTCTTAAAATATCTAGCCAAGACAAGACTCGCAGTAATTGGTTCATGTTGGAAAACATTAGATTTAGAAAGGATAACAAAGTTGTGGATGAGTGGAACAAACTCCCGAGCAGCATCGTTTAAGCTAAACTCTTGAATAGCTTTAAAAATAGGTTAGAGAAGTACATGAGTGTGTGTTGGTGGGTTTGAGATGGTTCAGCTTAGCTTGGGCCATTGGGCCTGTAGCAGTGCTTCTCCCTTCTTAAATAGGTTTGACTTGGACTTGCCTAGCACGGGCCAGTAGTGCCTGCTATGATCCTTTATATTTATGAATGAAAAAATAACATTGGTGCAGTACAAATTTTTCAGCTTAAATTCCATTAAGTTTTTACGCACTGAAGTATTAATTGGTTTCATTTTGAATTCAATTTAGAAAGGATACAAGTTGATGAGTGGAACAAACTCACAGCAATCGATTAATCAGCTGAATCTTGAATACTTTACAAAATGATTGAGAGAAAGTCTTAGCTGTGTCAGGAGTCTGGATAGATGTCCAGCTTAATCTTGTCTGGACCATGACTTGTAATTGTCCTTATCCAAACTTGTTATAATGTGCCTGACGAATTGCTGAGTGTGACCAGTAACTTGTATTGTCCTGACCATGATATTTTTCATGAAAAATGTCCTTGTGCAGTAAAGTTTTTTTCAGTAATTGAATCTGTAAGTTTTTCCTGCACAGAACTTATTGATTGTCTATCAGAATGTATAATTGTCCTGATCAAGAAACTTGATAATCGTTGAAAGAATAACTTGTAAATGCTACAGATGAAACTTGTTAATTGTCTGACAAGAAATTTGAAATGTCTGAAAGGAAGTCTTTTAATTGTCCCCAGAATCTTGTATAATTGTCCTGACCAAGAAACTTGTATAATTGTCCTGACCAAGAAATCTGAATAACTTGTATTGATTAGGAAGCTTGGATAATTGTTCTTGACTAAGAAGTCTGGATAAATTGACCTGACCAGATATCCTGGATGACTTGTCCAGATCAGTTAGCATGGATAACTTGTTCACTTCAGTGATTCTTGATACCTTATCCAGGCCAGGAAGTTTTAATGGACTGTCCAGGATGATTGGATAAATCATCCAAACCATTAGCCCTGGCTCACAAGTCAGAACCAGTAAGCCTGACTTTACAAGTCAGAAC